GCTGTGGGTAGGATGACTAGCGTGCTTAAACAATTATGGAAGTGACGTGAGTAAAAATGGCGCATTGAGATAGTCTTACGTTCATCATTAACCCAGCCCCAGTGAGGAATGTCTTTGTGTTTAAGAGACAGCAGCTGTACGTTTGTATTCCAGTCTGGATCCAGTACAAACACCTTAACGTGTTGGATAAAACCTTCCTTTACTGGCTGTCATGTTTCAAGTAGAATAGATGTCTTGAAATGCAGCTGATGCTTTAATGTTGTCAACAAACATTCTACAAACAATTAAAATAATGAAAATAAAATACAATAGGTTTTAAAGTTTTATGTGTTTTTAAATTCTTAAATTGTCTTGGCCTGTGCTACTTCATTTTTATAATGCCTCAAGTTCTTACAGAAAGTTTCTGTTCCTCATTTAGTCTTTTATTACTTTTATTACCAGCTGAGTGTGGTGAGATTGAGGTGTAACATCTCATGCACTTCTGACAGTGCATTTCTGTTCTTGTAAGAGTCATCTAGTTTTTAGAAATGTTATTGTAGCTTTGTTTTCACTTCCTCCTACGGGTTTCATGCATCTGATTTCTTGTTCAGTGTGTTGCTTTGCTCTCTAATGACCCACAGCTGTAACCTTTGTTAGTTTGTATCATCAAACTTGACTTCTGTGATTCACTCAAGCCTTTTTTTCCTGGTGCGTAACGATCATGTTAGCTTTACAGAGAGCTGGGCCAAAAATCCTGAACTTCCTTTTTGGATTTCATGATTTCATTTTTAGAGGGAACGAATCCATGAACGTTGCAAGACGATCTGCCCCAACAAAGACGATGTCGACGCTGTCTCTAGTATCACCACCAACCACGGTATGAATTATTAACCAGCTGCTGCAGGACTCTCTGACTGCCTGTATCCTCTTTTCTTGATAAGATTGGCAGCACAATGACTTCAGATGCAAATATGCAGGCTACAGTGTCACATCTGACTATACCACACATTAAGAGTATGTGAGCGTAGTTTGGTCCTGAACCTTGACTCTTTAATAGATTTAAGGGTTTTTACAGTTTAACACACGGGTTTTATTATCTTTCTTTTGATTTGCTTCCAAAACAATATTTTATGTGTTTAATGCACATTTCACAATTTGATCTGATAAACACATTTCTCTGCTTGCTGCACTTTTCACACGTTTCCTGTCTTTTTTATTTGTATTGTTTCGTTTGTACAGAGCACACTCTAGTGTCAGTCTTAGAAACTAAACGTTATTAATCTGACCATATTTGATCTAATTAGTAATAATTGTGACAAATGCATACCTTTTAATTAGCTGAGCAACACAAAAGGATATTGTGACTCTTAAACATAACTGCTGTAACCGATAGTGATTTAGAGCTTTTGTTGCTTATTCCAGACAAATCCAGAACGGAGCTGGAGCAAGTCCCGAAGGTAATTATGCAAACATGCATAATATTCTTTCTCTTTCCCTTTAACTTTGACAGTGTGGCCAATGCTCTAATGCAGTTCTGTTGTATTATTTTAGCTGTGGACTCAAACACATTGTGACTCTTTTGATACTTGCAACTAAGCATGTCTCCTTTATTAGCTTAGACATGATAGTGACACTATTGTGACAACAGGCTGTCTCCAGAGTGACCTTGCTGCTTCACTGTCTCACTGTGCTTGATATTGTCAGATTTTCATGAAGCCCGACTTTGCTCTTGAGGACCCGGCTACCTTCAACATGGTCCTTCCCTGGTCACACTTTAACAATGCTGGGGGGAAGAGCAGCAGAGACGTGGCTTCTTCCAAACTGCTCCAGGAAAAGGTAAATTCTCATCAACACATACAGATCACCCAGGGAGGGCGATCTGTAGATCACTGAGCACTGATGTGTTCAAAGTGTTCCTTTCAAACCATCTTGGTAACACCCCGAGGCAGTTATATAGATCGTTCCTTTGAAAACACATCAGATCACAGTGGAGAAAAGCATCATGCTGAATATCTGTACTGATATGGACTGGGAAATGTAAGGAATAAAGGATGC